TGGGTTAAAGTATAAACCTCAATATGAGGAGAGCTATTTCCTTACAGTCTCCTCTCAAGGCAGATGGGTCACATGAGGACAGCTGGCCTTAATATCCCTGTAGTGCATTACTCCTGTCTCCCATTGATTGATATTGTGCATTTGGCAGTTCTGTACAACATGACTGTCAGAATGGTTCGCAACGCAGATGTTTGCAGATCATCAGTCACATAGGCTGTGCTTAACAAGTTTGCGTCAGCTCAATATAGAAAAAGTGCCACAGTAATTAAGTGTCTAATGGGTTGATATTGCTGTAGGCGAGAGATTGAATAAAGTACTTGTGGCATAACAGGCTGTTTGGAGAGCTTTCTTTGAAATGCAGTAGTAGGAAATTGAGTTACTCACTCTGGTTTGAAGGGAAGAAATAATAAAGCAATAAATCATTTTTGTGTAGGATGACACTGCATTTCTGAATGCAAATCTGAGTGTCATATAAAGATCCCTATGAGTCCCAAAATAAGTTCTTTCCACTGTCATTTTTGATAATGCATTCTTGCATTAAAAAATATGAATTTGTTTAAAACTTTTGACCCCAAACTTTTGAAATGTAGTGTACACTTTCACAAAAACTTTTTTGAAAATAATAATTAAATTGTGCACTCAACTCAAGAGGAGGAATGTGTCAAGGGAAATAATTTTTTTAAACTATTCAAATCAATTCAAATTGATTTATATAGCACTTTTCACAATACACATTGTTTCAAAGCGGCTTTACAGAAAATACATGCGTCTACATTACAATTTAGAGTGATCTGTTATCAGAAGTTTTTTTTCTGATAAAAAGTTTTTTTTCTTTTCTTTATTTTGGACACTTATATTCTATTCACCCCCATTCAAGCATACAGTCGCCCACCCCCAAATAAAAGAGTTCAGTTGCAAAAGTTGTCCACTAATTATTTCTAATAGCATCCCAGCCTATGTAACTGTGGAACATCATGGGTTAAAGTATAAACCTCAATATGAGGAGAGCTATTTCCTTACAGTCTCCTCTCAAGGCAGATGGGTCACATGAGGACAGCTGGCCTTAATATCCCTGTAGTGCATTACTCCTGTCTCCCATTGATTGATATTGTGCATTTGGCAGTTCTGTACAACATGACTGTCAGAATGGTTCGCAACGCAGATGTTTGCAGATCATCAGTCACATAGGCTGTGCTTAACAAGTTTGCGTCAGCTCAATATAGAAAAAGTGCCACAGTAATTAAGTGTCTAATGGGTTGATATTGCTGTAGGCGAGAGATTGAATAAAGTACTTGTGGCATAACAGGCTGTTTGGAGAGCTTTCTTTGAAATGCAGTAGTAGGAAATTGAGTTACTCACTCTGGTTTGAAGGGAAGAAATAATAAAGCAATAAATCATTTTTGTGTAGGATGACACTGCATTTCTGAATGCAAATCTGAGTGTCATATAAAGATCCCTATGAGTCCCAAAATAAGTTCTTTCCACTTATAAAGAAATAAGTGGTATTTCTCAGAATGACATGAGGGTGAGTAAATTACAACAGAATAAATTTTTTTTGGTTGAATTATCCCTTTAATAAAGCTATCCCTACTGTACAATATTTGATTTGCAAATTTCAAAGGCCTCTATATTACCAACATGATCAACTTGTTGAAAAACCTGCTGTACACAATCTGGTACATGCCTTCTCAATTATAGTTATCTGAATTATAGTTCATACATTTTAGCAAGTAAAAGGCCTTTTAGTATCATTCTAAAAACATTCCTCTTCAGGTCATGGGACATGTGTCTTTATGCTGTGAGATCTTTACTGATTTTTATAAAATACATGTAAGAATAACTTTTTTTGTTGTTAGTAATATTTCAAGATGAACATTTACTGGACTGAAGCAACTGCATTTTACTTGATCATCCATACATATTTTTTAAAATATGAAAGATATATATAATTTTTAAGAAGTCTCTTATGCTCATCAAGGCTGCATTTATTTGATCAAAAATACAGAAAAAATATTATTAATTAATATTGTGAAATATTATTACAATTTAAAATAACAGTTTTCTATTTTAATATACTTTAGAATATAATTTATTGCTGTGATCTTACTGATACCAAACTTTTTAACAGCAGTGTATATATATATATATATATATATGCATTTTATGTAAGCACCAAATTGCACTTTTTGCTCGCTTATTTGGTGTTTTTTTCTCCTTGAATATGAGCTCTATATCCAGACTAAATGAGCCATAAAAGCCTCAAGTATCAAATATACTAAATTTGTTTTCTAGATTCTTTTTATTTGAATTTGTCTGAATGTTCAACAAAATTTTCCATTTATTAAAATTCTGATTATTATTTCATATGTCAGGCTTTACAGGGTTAAGTATGTGATGACATTATGCTCATCTACATGCTTGTAATTTTTCCCAGCTTATTTCTCTCTTCTTACTTTAATAAGTGGTTATCACTTCATCTTAACATTTGCCTGTGCCTGTGAGAGAGAGAATGGGCCGGGATGCCAGTAAATTTACTCACCAGTGCCAAAAGGCTTGGGCAGCTGGCACAACTCATTCACACAGACGACAAAGTCCTAGTGTGGACAAATTGGGTCACACCTCTCCTCACACCAGCATCACGATCTCTTAGACTCCTGCTGTTTATCTACTCCTTCATTTTTAAAGGTCTTCATTTCCTCTGTTTTGATGGAAATTTGTTGACGTCATTTCTACTGATTATCTTTTTATAGACTTTATGGATCATGGACGGTTTTAGTCATATGTTTATCAGTTGTGAATGCATCATTGGTTGTTGGAGAGTGATGGAAGAAACCAACTTCTCAAGGACAGGTGCCGTTTTTAGCGGAAGAGCATTGGCTAAAAACATATTGTTGGGTTGGTCCATAAGAAACCTGGATGGATTTGTCCAATCTGCTGTCCTTTCTTTATCTTTGTCCTCATGTTTGAGATCACAGCTGTGACTCAATGAGACGCTCATCCCACAGATCCATTTTGTCTAAACAAAGCCATGCCTTGTCACCTTTAACAGTGTGTCTGGCAGCAGAAGCCGCACAGGGATGAAGACTGAACTCTGTGTGCATACGACGCCACCTTTATACACACTACAACAGCATTCTCTCAGCATCCTTGCCAGAATTTCTTGTCAGGATGATCCCTGGCCTCTTCAACAAAACGTTTCAGATTTATTTTTGGTCTAAAGCGGAAAATGCAGCAGTATTGCTCGGTTTCAAAACCTAAACTACCAGTAAAAACCAGTAATGCTGTGAAATATTATTACAGTTTAAAATAACTGTTTTGTATTTTAATATTTTTTTAAATGTCATTTATTCCTGTGATGCCAGGCTGAATTTTCAGCATCATTACTCCAGTCTTCAGTGTCACATAATCCTTCAGAATTATTCTAATATGCTGATTTGCTGCTCAAGAAACATTTCTTATCAATGTTGAAAACAGTTGTGCTGTCTTTATTACCAATTTTGATCAATTTAATGTGTCCTTGGTGAATAAAAGTATTAATTTCTTTCAAGTAGGGTTGTGACGATGACGACATTTTCCCACCGGTTAATCGACGAGTGACAACACCGGTAATACCGGTATCACTGCGGGGGCGGGGGCATTCCGTCTTTTCCTCGCTTTCCTTCGCTTTTAAATAGCTTGTAAGAGTGTCGTGCGCATTTTACTTTCACTTTCAAATAGCGGCAATTCGGCGTAAAGCAATTGTTCGTTTTTAGTTCATTAATTATTTTTATTACTATAAAAAATTAAAACGACGGTGGGGGTCGGTGCCACGGTGGGCATGTGACGTAACCGGTGTTGCGCCTTAACACCGGTATCACCGTCAGCACCGTCTGTCGCGGCAAGCCTACTTTCAAGGGAAAATCTTCTTACTAACACCAGAGTTTTGAACTGTATTGTAGTTTAGCATATCGCTAAGCTGGAGTGCTGTTCTAAGCATAGAAAATACACAACACATGCAAATATTTGTTAAAAAGTAGTCAAAAATGTATTAATAAATGCTGATATTAACATTTAGATTAATAAATGCTATGGAAGTTTTATTGTTATTGTGATATTGTATTTTTGTATAGTGATCATGTTCATGATAACTAGCGATGTTAACGAATGAAACCTTATTGTAAAGTGTTACCAAAAATATTTACAATAGTCATTTAGCTTGACTTGTCTGCCATCTTGCACATATTTTTTTTTCACTGAGTTCTTTGCAATTGTATCATGGGATTGTCTGCTTTGTGACACATATGTGCAATGCCATTAGAATTTGGCGTTTTTGGACAGCTTTTGCATCGGAAATGAACTGGTGTTGCCTTTTTTAAAACTGTTGTTTTAGACCTACAGCATTTGTTTCTCTAAATAAAAAATAGTTTGGACATTTAGATGAAGTAATACTGAGAGACTTGAGTGCCCTGCCACACCTTAATTGGCTCATGCAACCATGTGCATTATCTGATGGGCGAATAAGAGTTCATTACACTCAGCTGACCATGCCAAAACTGTGATGGTTGTTTAAACAGGAACACTGTTTACGTTGTGAAGGTGCCTAGAACTGATGGTGGTTTGGCATCTGTGACAGAAACAGGAAAGAAAACATATGGCTAATGCTTTTTCAATGTCTCTCACAAGTTTATTCTGCTTCAGAGCTCTCAACATTGTCAGTATGTATATGGTTGAGAGATGAATCATAAACTATTAGGAGGATGTAGCCCAAGCGGTAATAGTGTTTTAGGTCATGCTGCCTGTCAAACACTCCTTGAGCTCAACTTCATTAGTATTCAGTGGCGGTTGCACAGCGGTGGTTAAAGTTGCTCAATAAGGCTCCAGTGAAACACTAAAACTCACTGTTTCCATCAGCACACAGGAAGACTCTTCTGCAATGAGCTGGTTTTTAATCTTTAACCTCACTAGAAAGGCTGAACGAAGGGCCCAAAAAATTAATTTTCTCCTCTCTCCCTTTTCCACAGGCAGTGAGCATCAACAAAGCCATCAACACACAGGAGATTGCTGTCAAAGAGAAGCATGCCAGGAATATCCTTTTGTTTGTGTCGCCCTAATAACCTCAAATTAGACAAAATTCAAATCTACTTGATATCGTCGACATCACTAAATAACCATTGTTTCAATTTATTCTGGTCATTGAAAGCCCTACTTTTGGGAAAAAATTTAAATAAATATATACAGTATATATACACAAATACAAACTTGAGCATTTATACCGGTTTTTATTTATTTATTTATTTATTAATATTTTATTTTATTTAGTTTTTTGTTTTGATTTGTTTTGGCCAATGAATAGCCTGCTTTTAAGATACCTCAAGCTAAGATACTAGGTATCAGTAACCCAGACAAACCAATTCACCTGCCAATATTTTAAACTTTTGAACTTTAAATTAGCTTTTTTTAAAATTTTTTTTTTATTTAATTAATTTTATTTTGAAGAATCTAATTTGAGGGTATTTTATTTTATAAATTTGCAGAGCTTTTAAACGTGCTTTTATGTTGTTTTAGTAATTAATTTATAATTTTTTTTGTAATTACTTTAATTCAATTTCTAATTTGAGAATAATATGGAGTATTTATTTTATAAACTTGAGCATTTAAATGTGCTTTATTTTATTTTACTTCATTTTATTTATTTATTTGTTTTGTTTTGTTTTGTTTTGGCCATTAAATGGCCTAATATTTGATACCTCAGGTACTATGTTCCCATATACCAGACATACCAATTAATCTCCCAATATTTGGCCATGATGACTTTATCAGCATCACCCCATAACTGTGCTTGTATTATTGTATCAATTTAATTGTATCATAATATATGCATTTAATTGTATCATGTATTGGCTATGGGGTTTATATATTTCAGTTCATTTTTAGATAAATATATATGTAACTCCATGTAGCTGCACATCAGTGTTTCTTTGCTTCAGTACTTAATATTCATTTAAATTATGTGGTTTGGCTAGTCCTTCTCCCAGAAGGCTGGTTCAGGTATCTGGATTAAGATGCGGAAATCTCAGAGATGCAGACTTTAAGTCCCAAACCCCTCAGTTTTGTCCTTGACTGGCGTCTTCACCGTGCATATTGGGCACGCATCATGAGAAGGGGGCTCACACATTCTGGCTTGCTGTCAACCGCCTGCCCCTTTCCAGCAATGCAGTGCTCTGCTGGAAATTTTGCCACGTCTTCCATAAGCTGCTGAGGGACGGCCATCCAAATGTGAGTACAGCCATATTATCTCTTAAACATCTAATTCCACCTCACTCTCACTTTCTCTCAAGCGCTTAGTTTCTTGATATCTGCTTCTCCCTTTGATTAATTCATTTTTCTCACACACTCAAATCAGCTCCCCATAGTAAACGCAGTATGCATCAGTGACACATAATGTGTGTGTGTGTGTGTGTGTGTGTAATCCATATTGAGCAATTCCACATCAACTCTCACAAGCCCTGTTCCAAAAACCTAATCAGCTGTCTACTTAGACAGCATTTTAAGGTGCCATATGCTCAATCCTGACCCAAAATCTGTTCAAAAAGGTTAGCAGCAACATTATGCTGCCATCTAAGACCCTTTTGGGCAAAATTCAAGGCAGTGCTGTATATAACTTATGCAGAGTGGTCAGTCCCAAAATACATTCTGATATTTCATTCCATACTGAAAATTATCAATAAAAATAATTCAGCTTAATTAAAAAGATGCTGTTTTACCCCATATTTGTGTGTGCTATGCTTAAACCGTATCAAATATTGGCCATAAAACACCCTGCTCTTTGGATACCTCTTTAAATTTGATTTTATTGTATGTAAATTTGAAGACATTTTAAACAAATTTAAATTTATTTTTGGCCAATAACTAGCCTATTTTCAGATAAATCATTCTAAGATACGCGGTACCTATTTTATTTTAATTGATTTTATAAATTTTGAGGTATCTTATTTGAGGATAATGAGGCATTTTTATTTTATTTTAAACTTGAAGAAATTTTAAACTTGCTTTTATTTTATTTTATTTTATTTTGAGTTATTTAATTTGATGTTGTTATTATGCGGTATCTTATTTTATTTTGAGATATCTTATTTGATGGTAATTAGAGGCTTCCATTTTATTTTATTTTGAGGTATCTTAGTTGAGGATAATATGAGGCATTTTTATTTTATTTTAAACTTGAAGAAATTTTAAACTTGCTTTTATTTTATTTTATTTTATTTTGAGTTATTTAATTTGATGTTGTTATTATGCGGTATCTTATTTTATTTTGAGATATCTTATTTGATGGTAATTAGAGGCTTCCATTTTATTTTATTTTGAGGTATCTTAGTTGAGGATAATATGAGGCATTTTTATTTTATTTTAAACTTGAAGAAATTTTAAACTTGCTTTTATTTTATTTTGAGTTATTTAATTTGAGGTTGTTATTATGCGGTATCTTATTTTATTTTGAGACATCTTATTTGATGGTAATTAGAGGTTTCTATTTAATTTTATTTTGAGGTATCTTATTTGAGGGTAATATGAGGTATGAATTTTATTTGATCTAATTTGAGGGTAAAATGAGGTATTTAAATGAGGTTTAAAAGAGAGAATTAGAATGAGAAAATTAGAGGTATCTATTTTATTTATTTTATTTTATTTTTAGAATGCTGTCTCAACTCTTCCTCTGTCTCTCTGTCACCTCAGGTCATTAAGGACTCCATGCGGCACAAGGCTGACCTGAACGACATGAGCAGGATGTGGGTAAGCGTGTGAACACAAGTTGTGGCTGCTGGTTTTAATGATTTCCCACTAAAACTGAGGCTCGCTCAATATAACTCTCTGTCGTATTGAATGAGGCCCTGTCGAGTTCCCTTGAGCTGTCATCTCATTGTGGAAACTGTCAGCAAGCCATTTCGTTACTGCTGATTGACAGCTGAATAGCTTGGCATTCTGTGTATGAGTCAGACACACTAACCTCAGCGCAGAGATGATCTGTAATTAGCTAACGATGACGTGAGCGTGTGTTTGGCACTCTGGAGGAATGCTTACAGAGCTTTGCTTGTTATGAGTGTACCAGTCAGACATCCCTGATATCTCATGAAGTGCTCTTATGAAGTGTGTGTTGTTGGATGTTTTTATTCTTTTTGGTCTTTTATCTAGAACTTATATTTGATGTTGTTCAGCACAATGGTCAACTAATGTTGTTTTTATTGTGCTTTATAAATAAATTATTGATTGTTTGATTGATTGATATATTGACATATTTAATACTAAAGACAAATTGATTCCAAAATAAGGACAATATATTCCAGATTATATTTTTTCTTTATTAAATACAATGTAAAATGAAAAAATGTAATTGTTTTTCTTACATAGCATAAATGGGTGTTTATACAAGAAAATCTGTAGCTGCCACATTTAGGGATATGCCGGTATCAAATTTTCATGTTGCGATTAATTGCTAATGCTTTTATCACGGTATGCGGTATTATCATGATATTGAAATTTAGTTTAAAAAAGTGCTGTCATAATACAGTATAACAGGTTTAATAACATTTTTCTTATAACAAAAATAACTGAACATTTAAATGCAATAAAGCAATACAGAAAAATGTAAAAGTTAAAAGTTTTACACAGATTAAAGTGCAAAAGAACCGCATTACCGAATACCGGCACAAGTCTAGCCACATTACAGATTTGGGGAGAAAATTTAAGTGTTTTTTTCTGATATGTTTGCTGTGCTTATTTGCAGGACTGCACAATTTAGCAGAATATTTTGTGATTATATATCAATATGCTGGTAATAATAACAATAAAAAATAATTGTTGTTGTTGTTGTTACTAAATAAAATTTTAAATAAAATAAGGAATATTATTATTGTAATATTTCACTAGCAAATAAGCAAATTGAATATATAAGAAAAATCATGTATTAATAATAATATTTTTATTTTATTATACAAATGCAACATTATTATGCAACAATACTAATTATTTATGACCATCTTTATTTATTTATTTCCAAAAGTTTTACCTGCAAACTTTTATTTTGGTGGAAAATCACTGGAAGTCCTTAAAGCTTGTCTTTGTTTGACAATAGTCGGTTTATTAACGCTTCTCATTTTTCAAGTTTGGGAAGATGGTTGGCGCATTTTAAGTTTCCGAATGCATGTTATAAGCATCCCAAACTCAGAGCAGATGCAGAGATGAGATTATATGGAGCAGAATTTACTGTAAACCGAGCTGATCTGAGACACTGAAAACACTGGATCACGAGCTGCTCATGTGTAGAAGAACACAGTGCTGCGCTTCACTCTGAAACACGCTCTGTATATACATTAATTAAATCACAGCCTTTGCAATTTGATAATCGCACTAAACCATATTTTGATTTCAGATTTATTTTGATTAATCGAGTAGCCTAATGCAGTATGTTGTGAATGCCATGTTGACTTTAGCATTATTGTCAGCAATGCAAGTGTTTCTAATGCAGTTTACGATTAGCTGTGTATCACTAGCAGACAGGAAGGGTCAGATGGAACATGCTGAGTTGCTGAGCGTGCTGCAGGATTAAACTCAGAAGAAACATTTCATGCAAAAAGCTCTGTCCCCTTCTTGTTATGATGTCACAGTAAGTGAACAGGAAGTGAAAGAATGAGCTCATTAACTTGACTTGCAGCTGGTTCTATTATATGTGTACACCAAACATGTTAACAAACACCAAACATGACCTTAATCTGCCCACAGTGACTCACACTTTGGACTGTGAAGTGAGCTGATCAGCTGAGAATGAGACGAGGACTCATTAGCTGCTACTGCTGCTATGGAAGGGCAACGACATCATTTCCTTTTACGTTCAGTGTTTTTCTTGCCCTCACTAGGGTTGGGTACCGAAACCCGGTGCCAATATGGCACCGGTACCTATGTAACCGGTATGTACTAGAACCGAATCAGAATGCAGATCTCGGTGCCTCATTTCGGTGCCACTTAAATGGCTGAGCGATCGATGGAAATATTTGTCCTGGTTCTCCGAAATGTCCTCCAAATATCATCCTCCGGGGGCCACGATTGTCTGACTCCCAGGGTTCATTGAATGGGCTACTGGGAGTGTGCTGAGATAGTTGATGAGAGATTGCTCAGATTAATTAGTTGAGCTCATTGTCTTGGCTAATTCAGTCTTCCGCATGACCAAGCCTGAAAACGTAAACTGTTTTATAAAAAATAAAAATAAAAAAATAGAACGGCATATAAATAGTTTTCCCCCCTCCTCCTCCTCCATCCTCCCTTTCAGATTGCAAACAAATACTATATACACTTTCCAGATTAAATGCAAATGACAGTGGCATTTTCATATTTGTACTCAGTTAGGAAATTAGCATCTTAATGATGTGAATCATAATGAGCTGGTGTGTTGACTCGCTAATGACACAAAGTGTGTGTTTGTCTTTATGAGCAGATAAATTCAGTCTAAAAGTTCCAGTAATCCTTATCAGGTGATATTGTATGTGTATTTGGGAAGCTGGCATAAAACTACTTTAGGAAAGTTGACACGTCTGGCCAGTTGACTGCATTGTGTCATGCTATATCCCATTTAAATATATTTTTAAAACATTTCTAATTATTATGCATGCATATTTCATGACTTCATACTGCATACTTAAGAAACCATGTGTGTGTTTGTGTTTTAGGACCATTTAAAATTAGGGTTGGGTACCTATGTAACCGGTATGTACTAGAACCGAATCAGAATGCAGATCTCGGTGCCTCATTTCGGTGCCACTTAAATGGCTGAGCGATCGATGGAAATATTTGTCCTGGTTCTCCGAAATGGACATAAGAAGCATGGGCGTCGCTAGGCCATTTTTAGCGGGGCTATAGCGATTAGCTCCATAAACTGTACACAAATTCATGATCGCCTCAGAGTCAGTCCACTTTAAATTTCATATGAAAACGGCAGCAGACTTCGTCTCCTCTCCGTTTTTCAGCGCGCTCTTCAATCCACAGACCGCAGCGGCGCAGCGCGAGCGGACTCAAACAGAAACAGAGGACACAAGGTGTGTGTTTATCGATAGATTGTTATAATATCTGTATCTGTGCAGTTCTTTGTCATAAATACAGTTTACAAAAGGTCACGAGGGAGCAATCGGTTTCCAATCTAACGTTACTGTAAAGTTTTCGCTGCGTTCACCCCTCATCACACTTTTGCCCCAGCTTCCTGTGTCAATATGAAATGCGTCAATAGAGGAAAGAAAATTACATTCGTCAAGCCATTTCATGGGTATTTTAAAAGGCTATGCTGTCAGACTCTCACAAAAATAACATTTACCCCACTTGCTTTTCCAGAATCCTCGTTTCCCAGGCAACCTTCAGATGTCAAACAGACAGCTTGATGAGGCGGGTGAGAACGACGTCAATAATTTGTGAGTATTGCTTGGTTTCTCGCAAGCTTTGTGTTTTTTTTCCAGTCTTTTTTATTAAATAAAGCTCCAAAATTGCTCTGTGTGTTTGTGGGATGTGACTTAATCATGTTTCCTCTCCTCTCAACACATGTAGCTTCCAGTTGACGGTGGAGATGTTTGATTACTTGGAGTGTGAGCTGAACCTTTTCTTGGGCGGTAAGTTTAAAGTGGAGTGCAGGTGTTTAAAACCCCAGAAAAGTCCCTTTTAAGTTAGTTCACCTGGCGGTCATTTTGGTTATGCCACCGGGCAGCTGTTTTCTAAGTAGATAATTGGAGATAATAAAATCTCTTTTTCAAGACTCTTTTTGAGTAACGTCAATAAAATGTGTCATTTTTTTAAACCTCAGGTCGCAGTAAAGAACAGCTAATGTGCATTCTAGAGTAAAAAAAGAGGTGACACCTCTATGGGGATAGATCTTTCTGCTGAGAAAGGCAGTGAAATAGCTGGAACACTGATAGATCTCAGTGTGCCTGTGTTGGAAGCATTAGGGAGAAGTTAATGTGAGTGTTGTTGGCTGAAACGCAGCTCCCTGGCACAGGAAACCACACCTCTCTGTGTGCCGAGAAGACGGGGTCTCACAGGAGCCTGCATCACTGATCACCAGAGAGATGGAGGGAGGGAAGGAGTGTGGGGATGAATGTGAATGAGGAAATGGGCAATGAAAGGGATTGATTGAGAAAAACAGCATGTTGAAGGGAATGGCGTGAAAGAAGGATTCATAAAATTAAAAGAATGCAACTTAGCAATTGAGAATTGAGGCTATTTAGAGTATTTTAAACATAGGTTTTTAGGTAGTAGGAAAACATTATTTATAACAAAAGCATATAAATAAGTATATATTTTAGTATAAATTAAAGTCTGTGTAAAGGCAATTCAGAGAGTTGTTTCTAAACGCATTATAAATGTTAGAAATGTATTGCTGAAACACTTTACAAAAACTGAACAATGTAGTACTGAATTGTGGAGTTAGACCGTTAAATAGTTTTCCCCCATTTTTGTGTTCACCCATTTTTTGGGTGGGACTGAAATCATGTCTCAGCACTGGAGACACTGAGCATGGCCCCTCTCATAACACTATAAAAAAGTGTGTTCGACTTGAAGCAGCGCTGCGCAGACCAATCGGTGTGTGACATCAAAGTACCGCGAGAGCTATAGAGAGCAGACTGTTCCTTATGCTTTCGAATCGCTCTCGCGGTACTTTGATGTCATACAGCGATCGGTCTGCGCAGCACTGCTTCAAGTCAAACTCACCTAATAACTAGAGCACATTAGCATCAGTGGTTCGCCCGCTCAGATGCGAGTTACTGTCATTACCGTTAGTTACTACAGCCTACAGTTTGCCAGCTAGCTATGCCTTTGTCACGTAAATGCATATTACCTGGTTGCGATAATTTACAAAAAAGCTTGGTCTATTTAAATTGAGCTGCTAGAGGGAGCATCCATTCAGGTTGTAGCAGTATTTGACTGTCGAGAGAGGCGGCAGCTTTCCCGTGAGTGGGCGTGGTTTCAGCTCCGCCAGTGGACACGCCCCCAGCGTCTGAGAGCAGAGAATACTGCTTATTTTTTTCAAGATTTTGATACCTTATTTTTCTTTTTTTTTTTTTTTTATTAGTCAAATTTGACTGGGTGGTTAATAACATTTTTCTGTGGTGTGATAAACTCCGAGCATATTTAATATTGCTTTACATGGACTTTAATATATTATGCATTAGGGCTGCACGATTAATCGAATGCGATTGTCATGCGCATATTGATAGTAATGCCGGTTCTGTAATCAGCAGGAAATCATCATCACGTATTCAATCTTCAAATTAATGTAGAAACAACAGAAATACATTATATTTTTTTAATATTTACTTAGTGGCATCTTTTTTTGTCTGAAGGCGAGTATCACTGATACCAATACTACTAATGTCTCAATGAAATTTTTTTTTCCCCCTAATATTTAACCATTGATTATAGCCATTCAGCATTACAGTATAATTGAGACCTATCAATTTTAACATTTATTAGACTTCAAAAAGTAACAACCTCTAATTTAAGTGAACTTAAAACAATCTTTACATAAACCCATTATAATAAATGTCATATTTAACTACCTGTGCCCTTCAGCAAGTAGAAAATTAATAAAGTTATTGATGATAGTTATCAAACACTAAATTCTAAATTAAATATAGATGAATCCTTAAAGCTATAAAAGTAATTGATTTCCTCTGTTTTTCTTTTGTTCTTTGATTAACAGACATCACAGCAGCTGGGTTATTCAGTTATTTTAGCTGCTTTAAGAGCTACTGCTGCTGGACATGACGCGGATCTGACACACATCATATTTTCTCACAACTCTTTACCTTTTCTGACCCACTTCAGCTCTTAAAGTCTCTGATGAGCTGACAAGTTGAATCGGGTGTGTTAGATGAGGGAGACTCAGTGCTGGGCATCTCCAGGACAGTTTTGAAAACCACTGCATTTCAGAGACATGTTCTTAAATCTGACTCATATATAACAAATACTTACATGCATGCACAGTTTTGAGGCAGCTTTAATCGCCTTTTTGGTAACTTCATGACTTAGGCTAACTGACGACATAATTATGACATTGCATGCTCGTCGTTTCTTTTGCACTTTAATATGAAATAATTTACAGCACGCCGCTGCATTTGTGCGTGTAATTGAAGAGCACTACGAGCACAGTATAACGGCTGACAGGACAGGAAAAATAGTTTTTTACTGACATATATGGCCTGACAGCATCTCATCTGACTGCAGTTCACTGTTGTTCTACTGAAGCTCCCTCATCACATGTAACTTTTCTGCGCTCGTTTGACTAGTGCATGACGCTGATGTGAAGTTAGAGTGCGCGTCTAAATAAATGCAATTCTTGTCAAGAAAAAAAGAGACAGAAGCAGCAGTTGTGA